GAGGGGAGGAAAGCTCAGATGGCCCTCAGACTCAGCCCTGCAGCCCAGAGCTTGTAGCTCGTGGTGCACTCAGCCTGGAAAGGGGAGGAAGCCAGTGGTACCAGGCACTTTCTTTGACCAGGAGGAACAGAGAGCTGCTTGAGGGCAGTCCAGCAGGGCAAGTGGAGTAGAGCGAACAGTGACTAAGCCAGCAGACTCCTGACAGAGCATGGGGTTCTGCAGTGCAGCTCTCCACTGTTGGGCTGGGCGGGGGTGTTTCAGATATAAAACGGAAACTCATAGACACAGACAACAGTATGATGGTTACCAGAGGGAAGGGGGTTGGGGAAGTATAAAGGGTAAAGAGGGCCAAATATATGGCGACAGAAGATGATTTGACTTTGGGTGGTGGGCACACAATACAATATACAGATCATGTATCATGGAAGTGTACACTTGAAACCTATATAACCTTAAAAACCAATGTCACCCCAATAAATTTAACTTAAAAATATTAAATGGTCCTAGCCAGTTTGGCTCAGTGGATAAAATGTTGGCCCATGGGCTGAAGGGTCCGGGGTTCGATTCTGGTCAAGGGCACGTACCTTGGTTGGGGTGCATGCTGAAGGCAACCAATCAATGTGTCTCTCTCACATTGATGTTTCCTCTCTCTGTCTCTCCCCCTCCCTTCCACTCTCTCTAAAATAATCAGTGGAAAAATATCCTCAGGTGAGGGGTAACAAAAATAAATAAATAAATAAAATGGACAAAGGATTTGAATTGATATTTCTCCAAAGAACACATACAAATGGCCAATAAACACACGAAAAATGCTCAACATCATTAGCCATTAGGGACATGCAAATCAAAACCACAATGAGCCCTAGCTGGCACAGCTCAGTGGTTAGAGCACCAGCCTGTGCACTGGAGGGCCTCAGGTTTGATTCTGGGTCAAGATTTGATCCCTGCCCCCAATCAGGGCTTGTAAGGGAGGCAACCAATCAATGTGTCTCTCTCACCCCCCCTCTTTCTCTCTCTCTCTCTCTCTCTCTCTCTCTCTCTCTCTCTCTCTCTCTCTTCCGCCCTTCCATTCTCTCTAAAAATCAATGGAAAAAATATCCTCATTCCTTGGAGGAGGATTTAAAAAGAAACCCACAATGAGATACAACTTCACACCCACTAGAATAGCTATAATTTTTAAGAATGTAAAATAACAAGTGTTGTTGAGGACATAGAGAAAAATGGAACCTCCACACATTGCTGTAGAGGAAGGGAGATAGAAACATCAATGAGAGAGGAATATCATCAATTGGCTGCCTCCTGCACAGCCCCTACTGGGGATTGAACCTGCAACCGAGGTACATGCTCTTGACCAGAATTGAACTTGGGACCCATCAAGCCACAGGTCGATGCTCTATTCATTGAGTCAAACTGGCCAGGGCTGGTGTGACCTCTTTGGAAAACAGTTTGCCACTTTCTCAAAAAATTAAAAATAGAGTTAATCTTTGACCTAGCAACTCCACTCGAAGGTATATACCCAAGAGACTTGAACATATATGTCCACAAAAAACCTTGTAGACGAATGTCATATCAACATTATTCACAATAACTAAGAAGTGAAAACAACCCAAATATCCACTGACTGATGAATGGAGAAACAAATTGTGGTATATCCATACAGTGGAATATTATTTGGCCATTAAAAGGAATGAAGTACTGATACATGCCACAACAGTAATGAACTTTGAAAACATATGCTAAGTGAAAGAAGCTAGACATACTAGTAAAAGACCACATATTGTATGATTCTACTATAGGAAATGTCCAGAATAGGCAAATTCATAGAGACAGAATGTAGGGGTGTTGAGTGGGAATGGAAGCCCTTATCTCACCATGAAGATTTTTCAGCAAAGACTGGTAGAGGAAAGAAGAAATGTTTTCATTTTGATCTATGAATTCGCTATAGAAAATTGGAGTCCACTCCAATAAGTGGCATCTTGAAAGAACCATCTCTGTCATTCAATCTGTAGTTAACTATCAAACCCCTACAATGTGTCTTGCTCTCTGGGGGGCCCACAGAAGCGTTCCTTTCAGGGAATCCTGGGAGATAGTGGAAGAAGCAAGAGCTTTGGAGTTAGATCTTGAGCTAGTAAAAATTTCAGCATGAAAGTATTTTATGCTACAAATTTATGATCCAAAGGAACAGAAGAAGGTAAATCAGTAGTATAAAATAATTTTACATATAATTAAAAATAGCAGAATGGTTGCCAGAAAGAACTAGGCTAACCACATTATTTCCTACCAGGGCACCTTAGGGGATCCCTGTTTTAATGAATAAATAAAAATGATGTGTAATTATCATATCAATTGCTTGCATCTAAGTGAGTGCTTCTGAAATTATTTGATGGTGCTTAAAAAGCTTTGGTCTCTGAAGTGCGTTTAGTGTCTCCTTGACTCTTATCTATATTATTAATTTGCAGATCAAAGTTAACTTGGTGCTATGCAAATGAGGAGACTTCAAATAAATGAGATTTTACTGTAAAATTTTAAATCTATATTACTTGTAACAGAACTGCAATATATTTTGAGAACGTGTTAACATATCTAAAAGAGACATTACAGCTTAAAGCAACGTTAACCAATAGAAATTTCTGTCATGATGGAATAGTCTATATGTGCATTATCTAGCTGTCCAAAATAAGGTAGCCAGGTGGTTATTGAGCATTTGAGATGTATCTAGTGTAACTGAGGAACTAAATGTTAAATTTTATTTAATGAACTTAAATTTAAATACCCATAAATGGCTAGAGGCTACCTTACTTGACAGTGTAAGTTGAAAGAAAAGGTAAAATTGGAATCCAAGAAACTGAATTCCAGCCCTACCCTTACTACCTTGCACAGTTTACTTAATGAACCTCTGTGAACTTCATTTTTCTTACTTGAAAATGAGAGTAACATAATATCTTCCTCACAGGAATTGGGGCAAGATGAATTAAGATATGTTCAGGCATTCTCTTATTTCCAAATAAGTGTCAATCAAGAACCAAAGTTAAATATGTGGAAAGTGGACAACCAACTCTCTCATTTAAAGGGAATTTGTATTCCTCGAGAGATAAAAAATATTATTAAATTCATAATTATCCTCAGCATTCAGATATAATATTTAATGACAATGCTTATAACTATCAGCTGGTAAACAGCACCATAAGCAATAGTCCGAAATGGTCATGTGTCGGCTTGGGAGTACCAATGTATGATGCACATAAGGGCTGGCAATCAGAAAGTTCAGCTTATAAAAGTTAATGCAATCACTTCTTTATTATTGTTACATTTAATAATGTAATTCATCTTGATTGCCCAAGGAAGTTGAATGAATCCATTCCATTTAACTAGGGAAAAATGAGGCACCAGTTAGCAAAATAGGCTAGTTATTAGAAGCTTGAGCACTTTTGTTGAATATAATCACATGAAATAAGGCATGTAATGTACTTAGTACAGGGCATGCCACCTACTAAGGACTAAAAATGTCAGCTGTTATTTTAAGTGACAAAGGATGGTATTGGGAGATTCATGAGATTAGAATCCATTGGCTATTTTTTAATTAACAAAAGGTATAAGAGTATAGAGTGATATTTGCACAGATTTAATTTTACGTGACTGGACCTAGAAAGATAATTTCAATTGTACACATCCGCACCAGTCAGAAGCTGAATTTAGTTGTTTTGATACCACTTCAAAACTGTTTTTAGAATGATGAACGATGAATGGGTAAAAATGCCTCCTGATTCCCCCCTTAACTCAATAAAATGAGCTGGTAAAACTCATGAGCCTTCAACACACAAATGTCTCTAAATCTGAGATAATATGGAGGCAAATGGGAAAGAGATTGAGTGTGTAAATGCTCTACCAATCATAGGTCAAGTGCTTGTAGATTCGGACCTATACTACTTTCTGGGGCATATGGTGCTTTAACTAGCCATCCACAACCACTCCAAGGGTTCTGAAGGGGTGCTGGGACAAAAAAGAGCAGGGCCTGTGTCCTGAGGCCTGAGAAACCACTTTCAAGGAAGTGACATGAAACCAGCTTTACCATGAAGCAGAGAAATTACATCATTGCTAGGAAGCTTTCCTTGGTCCTAACCTCTTCTTCACATCACTTGGTGAAGGCCTGAGGTTGTGGGAACCGAGTGGAGGGGAAAATATGGGGACACCTGTAATACTCTCAACAATAAATATTTAAAACAAACACACACACACACACAAAAACAAAGCTCCACTAAAATGCACATTCCCCTAAGCACCTCCCCCTCCCCAAATAAATAAAAGCTCACACAAGGTCGTCCCACTTATGTGCTAGTTGCATTGCAAAGAATCCAGAAGTGGGTGTCGTAATCAGGATTTTGTGACCTTTCTACTAGGAGAATTTCTAATTGTATAGATAATGAATATTTTGCTAAAACATTCTCCATTGTGCCCAGCTGGCGTGGCTCAGTGGTTGAGTGTCAGCCTATGAACCAGATCAAGGTTCAATTCCCAGTCGGGGCACATGCTCGGGTTGTGGGCTCGATCCCCAGTGTGGGGTGTGCAGTGTTTCTTATCTCTTCCTCCCTTTCCCTTCCTCTCTGAAATCAATAAAAAATACATTAAAAAAATAAATAAAACATTCTCCATCACCCTCAGGCTCCCACGACATCATTCTTCCCCTTAAGCTACCTACATTTCCTTATCCTGATTTGACTTGGGTTTTTTGTTTTGCTTTGTTTTTAAGAAAGAGAATTTGTTCCTATCATCTAACTCTATGGGGAGCTTGCATGCTTTGTAAGGGAAATAAACAAACATTAGCCATATTTTTTCTTTTGTATCACCTTAAAACAGAGAGGGTAATATTTCCATTCTGAGTGTGACTCTATTCATTAGTACAGGTCCATTATACTTGCAGATACATAAGACTTTACTTTTTGAAGCTACTTGGATATTCAAAGAGGCAAAAATCAACAAACAAGCATGTACAATACCTTGTGCCAGAACTTGGGAGTGCAATTGTCTCTGCTGTCCTCTTCCATGGTGCATTCCTGGTGGCCCACCATGTCAGCTCCTGTCCTGCTTTCCCTATTTTTCTAGTGTCCTTTCTTTGGAGTTCTTTGGAGTCACGGGTGAAATTTTTCTTTCTCTGGGCTTATTGGAGCACTTGACCAAAGGTTAAGCTCAAACTCAAGCTCAGAGGGCTAGTCGCGTCCCAGTGATTGAATAAGCAGAGATCCAAGTTGCTGGGGGTTCTTGCTTTATTTACTGCAAACCTCCTCTTGCCTCTTCTGGGCTGTTGTTCACTGACAATTGCCGCGCTCTGGGCTGGCGCTCGGATGCCCTGTTGTGCAGGGACAGGCAGGTTGTGGTGAAAGCTGCACTTGTGAAAAAGGCCATTGTTTCATGTCCTCTGTGCCTCAATGGAGCTATGGCAGCAAATGCCATTGGTGAATTAACTCTGTCATTGTGTGCTGCCTCAACTGATTATGCTCCTGGAATGACAAACATTTTCTCTCTTTGTTTTTTCAAGATAAAAAGTGGTCAAGACCTTGAGGCATTAATATACAACTAAGCCCTTTATTTAAATGGGAGAATAAAGATAGAGAAAAGAAATCTCTCACATGTACTTAGATTCAAATAAGCATTTTTCTCTTCTAAGGAGCTATTCTAAGCACCACTGATGAGAAATGTGTACATTTTAACCATGTAGGAGCTTCACAATTTGTATTGAGGTAATTTCTTCTCAGATAACACTGTGTGGTAAAAGAACGCAACCGAGGATTAACAAAATCAAATTTCCCATTAAGTTTTAGAGAGAGTGGAAAGGAGGGGGAGAGACAGAGAGAAACATCAAAGTGAGAGAGACACATCAATTGGTTGCCTCCTGCACACGTCTGAACCAGGTCAGGGGATAGATAGAGCCTGCAACTGAGATATGTGCCCTTAGTTGAAATTGAACCTGGACCCTTCATTCCCTGGGCAGATGCTCTATCCACTGAGCAAGACCAGCTAGGGCAGAACACTGTAAATATGCATGTTTTTGGTCCTTTCTGAGAAAAAAGATTCTTTTAAAATCTGGCTGCAGCAAAGTACTATGGGAACTTTGGCTGCTGATATTAACGTATCATACTTCAGTTCAGAATGAAGACTGCTGTCCATCTAAATTCACCTTAGCCACGTAAAGATTTTTTGTCCCATGCTAACAGGAAAACTCTCCGTCACTTTCTCACATACTCTAATCACCAGGATGGTCAAACTTGCTCTCTGATCAACAGAAGGATCCTTTCAACTTTCCCATCCATCTGGCATCCATCCTGCACTCTCTCTGTATGGATGCTGGCCCAGTGGCTGGGGGTGCTCTGTCAGTGAATTCACTGCTAGTTTTCTAGTGTGGCAGTGTGTCGTGTGCCACCTTGGTGAGCTGGAACCCCATTTCCAAGGATCCCCTTTCCTTAGGACTCTGGGCAAGAGTTGGCCAAAAGAGGAATTCTCCAAAGGTTGTCATAGTTGAGTGTGGTGATGAATGGAGGGTCCCAGCTGGTCCTTGTGTTCCTTCACTCTATGTCCAGATCTTCTTCCAAAATGTTGACTAACAACAGCCCCAGGCCCACCATGGGGCATTTGTGCAGCCCCACGGAGATAGGAGTAGCTTCCTGTGTGCTTCCACTTTGGGAGCTGGATATACTGGGCTTCTGACTGCCAGGTGGGTGGTTTCTCCCATCCTCTAACTATCCTCTAGATCTCCACTCCCCGAGTCCCTCACACAACCAGCCACGTCTCCTATAATGAATCCCTTTCTCCACAGCTCAAAGTGGTTCTGCTTCCCTGACTGAACTGATACACTTGTTTTTCCAAACCACACAAGGACTGTTAGGAGAGAATCCTCAACATGGGAGGAGTTTAGAGGGCAATAGGGAGAAAGCCCTGTGGAACTTGTGTTTAGAAGTGACTGAGGCCTGGCCGTGGTGGCTCAGTGGTTGAGCGTCGACCTATGAACCAGGAGGTCATGATTCAATTCCTGATCAGGGCACATGCCCGGGTTGTGGGCTCAATCCCTAGTATGGCGCGTGCAGGAGGCAGCTGATCAATGATTCTCTCTCATTGATGTTTCTATCTCTCTCTCCCTCTCCCTTTCTGTCTGAAGTCAAAATATATTTTGAAAAAAAAGAAGCGACTGAGAAACCCAAGGAAATAGATGCTATATTTGTATTGGACTTCTCCCCACAGTTCCTTATAGCCTCACCCTGCAATGCTTCTTTTCATCTCCAAGCATTTTTGCAGGTACCTCTTCCTTCTTCATTCCTATGCTTTCTCCTCATCTTCATTCTTATCCCCATGGATAAGAGGCTGGGATGGGCCATCAGAGGTAAGCCACACCATAGGGGTAGGTTCCAGATAGAAGACTAAAAGAGAAAAAAAAACACACACACCAAGTCCTGGATACATTATTGCTTCCATTATTGATTTACTGGATCCATTGAAATGATGCCCCAACTTGACACAGCACAGAAACCTTGAACGGGAGGTTTCTCTAAAACTAAGCTGAAGCTTGGTTCAGCTGTCAGGAAGACATCATCCGCCTCTATTTGCACTGGTTTGCTCTTCTCAGTAATGGAAAAATCACTCTTGTGTCATCAAGGCCCAATGGTTCACAAGAGGCTTATTTTGAAATTGCCTCTTGTTGTCATCCCTTAGAATAACAATGCATTTGGGGGGAAAAAAGAATAACAGTGCATTTGATTATATTTCCAAGCTTCTGTCTCACATCCAAAAGAAGAATCATTGCCAATCTATTTGCTCAATTAACTCCTGCTTAGAGTAGGCGATTATTTGTCATGAGTACGAGAAAGATGAGAGGAGAGGTTTTGATTAATTCTGACTATAAAGTAAATAGAACCAAGACAGGGCTACCAATACAATTACATACTGTATTCTTTTCTCTTTTTTTAAAAAAATATATATATTTTATTGATTTTTTACAGAGAGAAAGGGAAAGAGATAGAGAGTTAGAAACATCGATCAGCTGCCTCCTGCACACCCCCTACTGGAGATGTGTCCGCAGCCAAGGTACATGCCCTTGACCGGAATCAAACCTGGGACCCTTGAGTCCGCAGGCCGACGCTCTATCCACTAAGCCAAACCAGTTAGGGCAACATACTGTATTCTTAGCACAGACTTAGGTCAACAAATGAAGCCACCTACCTTTGGATTATGAAGGTGTCTATTATCTGAACACTTATTGGTGGTTTTCAGGGATCTTCTCTACTTTTGAGAATCTCATGAGTGAAAATGGTCTCAGGGGATCTCCCTGAACAATTCTCTGTGGTCTACCACAAGGGGCGCTTCGGAGCTCTGAGAGTTGTCAGTGGATGGAGTCTAGTCAAGCAGGCCCACAGAGTTAGAAACAGGCCAGCAGCAGATCTCAGCTACCCTATATAGCACCTTTGCTCCTCTGGCTCCAAGCAGCCCCACTTGGTGAACAAAGGGAGGGGTGGATTTCAGCCCCTATTCTCCAACTCTGTGACGAGTTCTTGAAGCTCCTGACCCTCAGAGATAAAAAGCATCGTCGGGGAAGCAAACTGTATCATCCCCATCACAGGAATTTGGGGGATGAGTATCCTCATGGCCCAGGAGGTGTGGATGATAACTAGGCCTCAGCTCCAGAGCTGGTAAAACCACCCTTCTTTTGCACGAATTCCTCAGCAGCATTCTGTTGACCTTACTAGACCTCACTAGTGGGCAGGGATCATTGCCTTGGCTGCCATGTTTAAGAGGACTGACACACTTGTTTTTCCAAATCATACGAGGACTGTTAGGAGAGAATCCTCAACATGGGACGAGTTTAGAGGGCAATAGGGAGAAAACCCCGTGGAAATTGTGTCTAGAAGCGACTGAGAAACCCAAGGAAATAGATGCTATATTTGTATTGGACCTCTCCCCACAGTTCCTTATAGCCCTCACCCCGCAAAGCTTCTTTTCAGATCCAAGCATTTTTGCAGGTACCTCTTCCTCTGAGGAGTCCATGTGGCCATGGATCCCCCCCCCCCCTCGCTCCCAATATGCACTCCTAGAGTTCCTCACCCCCATTTCTAGAACATTTTGGAGTTTTCTTTCCAAATGACCTCAGCCTGCTTCCAGAGCCTATGTGGCCTCTTCCTTAGGGCCAATCTCTTGGCGGTAAACTTACTGAAAAGTTGCATATCCTTAGGTACAAGGGGTGGTAGAGCATGGGCTTTTAGCAGGAAAATGTGAACAGAATCTGGATATCTGGGTTGGCATATCCTGTGGTGTGGCACAGAGGAGCAGCTCTGGCTGTGGCATATATATATATATATATGGTTTGGGTTTTTTTTTTTTCCCATGAAGCAGTACAAAACTCAGAAGCTCCACTAGGTGCAACAAACATGGATATGATGCTAAGCAACTCTAGGCCTTTCCATAAAATGAATAAGATTTAAGTTTGACAGCATAGTAAACCTTAAAGCAGCAGTTCTCAAATTTCAATACAGCCTTTATATTGTTAAATAACCAAGGCTAGATTGAGTTATAGAGTTTTTGTTTTTAATAATATACTGAATGAGATAGCAATGACATGAAGTGATCTGAACAAAGGTGCATTGGTAAAATATTGATGCCATAACCAACCCACATGGCCCACAGTTTCACTAAAGGCGACGACTAGATTCTCTGGAGGATGAAGAGGTGACTTTTCCCACAAATGTCAGAAGCAGGCCCAGGTAGAGGTATTTTAAGTTACTGTAGAAATGAATGGCTTAATTAGCATTTTGTTATTTTAATTACAGTTAATTACAGGTAGTTCGTCATCAAAAGTCTGAGGATGGAGTTTGGATCTGAAGAATACCTAGTGTCAAATAAAAATAGATGCACAGAGAAACTGTAGGGAGCAAGGAACTTTGGAATTTATAAGCTTTCTTTTTAGGCACACAGGAGTTTCAATTTGCAGAAACTTGCGAAAAGAACTAAGCTCCACACAAAGACACACATTTATCCATCCTTGGGGCCATTAACACAACTTCTCTAAGATGTCAGAGTGATAAGCCAAGTAACAGAAATTGTTTTCTTCTCCTCACCTCGTAACAAGTATTTTAATACATTGCTGGGGTTTTGTAGACATTTTTCTCCCTAACAGAACAACTGACGTTGTGCCAGATGTGTAACTGACTTGGAGAAAAACTGAACATAATACATTTTGTAATTTTCACTACATCTTTCCCATGTTTTTTGCTGCTTTCCAGAGCCCTTTCGTGATGCAAAATTTCTGCGCTTGACCAGAGAACCCAGCTTGTTCTTTCTCCTTCATTTCCTCTCTCCCATTCTCTCACCAACCAAGGCAAAAGGGAGTCATTATCTTCAACTGTGAATTTCCAAGAAGTTATTTTGTGGGTGAGGCCACACGTTAAAGGATTTCTAAGAACTTCTCCCAATTCCTGACTGTGGATAAAAGCATCTGCATAAATTGGTGATTGTAAGAGAAACACAGTTACATGTCTTGTGAAAATCCACAGAGGAAAAGAACAACATATAATGTTTCTAAACTTCTGATTTAAGAAAATGGACTTTAATGTCGTGAAATAAATCTAGGCAGTTAAGACACTTTGTGCCAGGGTCTTGAAATTAAAACCAAGGTGCCAATTTAAAAATGGCTTTGCTCCCAAGCTCTATGCCGGGCTCCAAAGGAAAACAAAATGTTGGGTGGCTCATTAGTAATGTTCCATACACGTCTCTGCATAAGGGACAATTCAGCAGAAATGCCAAAGAAAGAAAATGATGTTCCCACAGTCATGTCACCTGCCCTAGTTGAGTGAAGAGAAAGCTGGTTATCTGTTTGGGGCTGGCATTAAAATCTTAGGTGGCAACAAACAATTGGAAATTAAAATTTAAAAAAACAATACCAATTCAAAGCAGCATCAAAACACGAACGACTTAAGGATAAATTTAATGAAACATGCGGAAGTTGTGTCCACTGAAAACTTAAAGGACTGCCAAGAAAAAGGAAAGAAAACATACAAAAAGGGAGACATATACTGTGTCCATGGGTTGGGAAACTCAAAATTGTTAAAAATGTCTATTTTCTTCAAATTAATCTATAGATTCAATACAAACCCAGTCCAAACCCCAGCAAACTTTTTGGTAGGAATTGACTACCTCATTCTAAAAATTATATGAAAATATGAAAGACTTAGATTAGCCAAAATAATTCTGAAAAAATAAAAGAACATGTTGGAAACTCAGACTCTCTGATTTTAAGACACTGTAAAGCTACAGTAGTCAACATATTAGCATAGACATATAAATGGGACAAAATAGAAAAATCCAGAAATAGACCCACATATATGTGGTAGATTGATTTTTGATAAAAGTACCAAGACAATGCAATGGTAAAAAAAATTGCCTTTAAAAAGAACATGCTGCCAGCCAGCATGGCTCAATGGTTGAGCATCGACCTATGAACCAGGAGGTCACGGTTTCAATTCCTAGTCAGGGCACATGTGACCCAACTGGGGGTTGTGCAGGAGGCAGCTGATCAATGATTCTCTCTCATCATTGATGTTTCTATCTCTCTCTCTCTCCAACCCTTCCTCTGTGAAATCAATTATATATATATATATATTTAAAAAGAACATGCTGTCCATAGCAGTATTATTCAAAATAGCCAAAATCTGGAAGCAACCCATGCTTTTGAACACCTTTTGTTTTGAGGATGATCTTTTGAAGTAGTGCTGGCCTTACATAAGAATCTTTTAGGTAATCCAGCTATTATTTGATTCATAGGAAGCTACAATACTAAATGCTGTAAGATACTAAAGAGTGGAAATCTTTAGAACAGGTGGGAGATGAACCCTCCTTCCTCACAGAAAAAGGTGTATCCAGGCATAAGTGACCACATATTGTTCAACCTGATATTTATGTCCAGGGTAACCATCCTGCAGATGACTCTAACAGGTAAGGCAATTCCTTGTCTAGATCCCTTGTTCTTGACTTTGGCTGCACATTGGAACCCCATCCTACGAATTTATGATTTAATAGCTGGGGGTGGGGAAAGGTGGGCACTTAAACTTTGATAAACTACTCATATGATTCTAATTTGCAGCCAAAGTTGAGAACTACTGCTCTAAACTTTATAAACTTTATGGACATATGTAAATTAAGAAACGTTCATGCTGCCATCCTCAGCTAAAATCCACTATTGACTGACTATATGATTAGTGTTCTAACATAATTCTTTTTTTTTTAATGCGAGACTTTTCTTTTAAATACAGAGGTGCTTTATTTTTGTTGTTAATCATCACCCGAGGATATGTTTCCACTGATATATTTTTTTAGATAAAGTGGCAAGGAGGAAGAGAGACAGAGAGAAATAAACATCGATGTGAGAGAGACTCACATCCATTCGTTGTCCTGATCAGAGGGCCGGGGATGGAGCCTGCAACAAAGGTATGTGCCCTTGACCAGAATCAAACCCGGGACCCTTCAGTCTTCGAGCCGATGCTCTATCCATTAAGCCAAACTCCCTAGGGCTCATAATTCTTTCTTAACTTTGCTCCAATACCTTTACTAATTCACAGGTGGATTCTGGTTTTCTATCTCCAAGTGTGACTTCACGCTGCTGGTTTAGAAGGTCCTGAAGCATTAGTATAGAGCTATTTGTCTTTGGGACAGGTTTTATTCACGCTAACACTGCATATTTATGTAATGATCTAGGGCTCAGTCATCACAAAAGATTTGCCCATTGGTCAATACTTCATGTTAAATTACTTGAGGGCATGGATCTAACATTGCTCTCTAGGGGGACAGTGCCAAGAACATTATGCACTAATGAGTTTGAGAAAAGGCCTTGATGGCTAAAATTACTTCTACATAAAATGGTACTCAAAGATGGTTAATTCTCATTCTAAGTTCTTGGCTTAATTAGTGTTCTCTTGTTAAGATATACATGCAGATGTCTCTGTTCTTATTGTTTGTTAAACAATAAAGGAGATACATACATTGCATGCTTTGTACCACACACAAGAATCTAAAGCCCTTTTTGTCTTTCATAACATTGACATTCTGCAGGAGTCCAGGCCAGATGTCTTTTGCCCTATGCTTTGAATAGATCTGATTATTTCTTCATGATTAGATTCAGGTTCAACATTGTTTTGCAAGAAGACTACTGTATATAGTTGACGCTCCTTTTCCCAAGTGCATCACGTTAGGAGGCATATGATTGATTACCTCTTATTGGTGATGCTACTTTTGGTCGTTTGGCTAAGATGGTGCACATACCTTTACGTGGTTATGTGTGTGTGTGTCACAGCGACTGTGTTCACACTCTGAGAAGCTAAGTATCAGGCCAGACTGAGTCCACAGCAAGAGGCAGTCGCTTTCCCAGGCTCCCGGCAAACCGGTCCAACCACGCCCATCGTACTGCCCGCCCGCGTTTCTTTTCCGGGAAAATCACCTCTCAGAACCAGAAAGCCCCTGCTCCAACGCACCCATATCTTTTCCCATCAGTATGGGCGCGCCTGCGCAGCGAGTCTGCAGGCGGCTCCTTTCCAGCGCCCGACCGCTTCTTTTTCCTGCTCTCCTTCCCTCCGGCTCCGCTAGAGCGATTTCCCCCTTAGGGGTCAACCACAGGTCCCCAAACGCGCGCTCGCGGGAAGACCTGGGGCGGGGCCTGGCGCGGCGCGGCACGTCAGGGGCCTTCCGGGCGGAAGTCCGCAGCCTCCGGAGCCGCTGATTGGCTTTCAGGCTGGCGCCTGTCTCTGCCCTCGTTCCAGTTTCAGGCTGGTTGGCGCGGAATCGAGAGACTCCCGGACCATGGCGCCCGTGCACGGCGACGACTGTGAGCTGGGGCCACGCGGGGTCCCGGGTTGGGAGTGCGGGGACCGTGGCATGATTGTGGGTGGTGGAGGCTAGAGGATGGATCTCTTTTAATTTTTCCTGAAGGAGGCGCGCGCCCCAGTCGTGCCGCGGGTCTGTTTGGGCGCGGACCTTGGTCGCCCCGGGCTGGGACTTTTCTGGTATAAGACGGGGCTTGCTTGCTGGGCCCTTTGCCCCTGGCAGCCCCCCGCCTGCGGGGCTTTTGGTTTGGGAAACTGCGTCACCTCGGTCACTGCGGGTCTCCACACTCTCCTGCCTTTCTTTTTTTGTTTTGTTTTTTTTCCTTTTGGTGAGTCGTGTGCCACGCTCTGGGCACACCTTTATAAGACTGGCCCCGGCGGGGCACAGTTTTGACGGAAAGTATTTCACTACTGCCACCCCAACTATGCACTTGAGGACTACGATGCATGTCATCCCCTTTATAGAAACTCCCAGGAAATTGTCATACCTTGTAAAGAAAACTTTTAAGTGCTGTCACCAGAACATACAGATGCATTTTGTCTTTCTAGCTACCGGGTTTCTACTTTATGCATTAACAATTTTTCTTCCAAATTCTATGGAAAGTTCAAGTATGGCATAGAAATAGTGTTCACAATCTAGTCTTCTCTGATGAAGCTTTAAAAAAAAGTAGAAGTTCAGCATTTCAGATGTCCTGTATCACTCCATTTTCAGTGGTAATCTTTTACTTCAAAAAACTGAGTACGAAAATGCAAATGGCTTTGTCTGATTTCTGATTTTTTGAACAGTGTTCAACTAAAGTGTGACTTAAGTGAACTTCTGACTTTAAATCAGATGCTTCACTTTCTTAGCTGAAGCACATCTGTCACTCAAGTGCATCACTATTAATGAGAACTTGCTTCCTAATCAGCTTCCTTTGCATTCACCTAGATAAGAATCAGAGATTTCAATTTATTCTTCTAGCCTTTTGTCTTTTAGGAAAATTTATTTTAGGCAGTCGACTAGCCTGGATTACAAATGGGATGTAGGATGTGAACACATGCAGTCTCTGCAGCCCTACATCAGTGATTTGCCACTAAGCTGTTTCTTCACCCTAAAAACTTTACAACATCTGTGAACATCAAGAAATCACTCTTTGGCAATCTTGAGACCCCTCTTAAGTCATGGTGTTGATTAAGTGTTGCTGGAGACTTGTGACTGGAATTTTTCCTCTAGAGCAGACAGAAAGATTGCTACCGGAAAGACTGTTGCAGGCCATTATTTTGTCTGCTTTTGGGGAGGATGGGGGCACTTCAGAAGGTAATTTTGAACCATGTATTAAATTTTTGTAACTGGATTTTTTTCATGCTTATTCTTTTTTGCTAGCTTACTACGTGAAGCATTGGAGACATATTCAAAAAAATGGAAATCTAGGCCTTTTCCCCTCAAGTATTAGGTGGGGTACCTTGACAATGGCAGTGAAAAGTTGAAAGGTCTATAACTAGCTTTATATATGAAAAAGGATCAAGGAGAATTTAATAATTAAATAAAGCACGCACAGTGAGTGGTTCATTCAGCAAATATTTATTATGTACCTACTAGGCATAGGCATTCTGCCAGCCTCTAGTGGTAACAGTGGTAGGTAAGCTGGACATGCTTTTTGTTTTCATGGAGTTGAGATTGTAAACGCCTAACTTTTTAAAATACATATTTATTTCAGAGAGGAAGGGAGAGGTAGAGAGAGATAGAAGCATTAGTATGAGAATCATTGATTGGCTGCCTCCTGCTGGGGATTGAGCCCACAACCCCGGCATGTGCCCTCGACCGGAATTGAACCTGGGACCCCTCAGTTTTCAGGCCGACGTTCTGTCCACTAAACCAAACCGGCTAGGGCTAAACGCCTAATTTTATGCAGTGCTATATTGAGGCTCCCTTGAAATCACTGCTTTGTTATATTTTTGTTTTCTAGACACTAGACCAGCGGTTCTCAACCTGCGGGTCGTGACCCCTTTGGGGATCGAACGACCCTTTCACAGGGGTCGCCTAAGACCATCGGAAAACACGTATTGTTTTGTGATTAATCACTATGCTTTAATTATGTTCAATTTGTAACAATGAAATTGGGGGTCACCACAACATGAGGAACTGTATTAAAGGGTCGCGGCATTAGGAAGGTTGAGAACCACTGCATTAGACCATGTTACTGCTAAGTAGTGTGTGTGTCTGCCCTGCATCTATACACACATGCAGTGAACTTCTCTTATATTGCTGAGTACAAAGCCAAGTATCTTCATTTAATCTGCAACAACTTTATGAAACAAACATGATTATCCCCATTTCAGAGATGAGGACCCTGAGGCTCTGCGTTAGTCTGAGTCCTTAGGTGTAAGCTATAGAAACCAATTCTAGCTATTTTTTTTTTTTTTTACAATTTTATTGCCCATTGAAAAATAAATAAAATAAAAACAAAAAATAAATACAACAAGCCATTGTCAATTATTTTCCATTTGTGAAGTCTAGCTAATTTAAACAGAAAAGGAATTTATTAGAAGGATATTGGATTGTTCACGGAAACTCCAGGAGGACTGGAGAGTCAGCCTGGGGGTTAGTTAGCCAGGAATAGTGATTAAAATCGTGTCACAAAACTGTTCCAGTGAGGAGGTCGTTGCCAACCATGGTCAAGTACTTGAGGTTATAGCTTGTTATAGCTGTAGTTAACATTGCTGGCACTGTTACTTAATCCTCCTGCAGCTGTTGCTACTTATAGAATCTTTTCCTAGCCCATCTCCTTTCCTTTTGACACTAGCTTCTGATTTAAAGCCTGAGCAGGTGTTCCTAATTGGGAAAGCCCATTTTATATGCCCATGCCCTAGCCTAGCTGCAAGGGTGTCTGGGAAAGAGCATCTGCCTTTCAGTAGTAGGATATGGCCTCTGTGTCCCATCAAAACTTTAGGGGAGCCTGACCTGTGTGGCTCAGTGGTTGAGTGTTGACCTGTGAACCAGGAGGTCATGGTTCAATTCCCGGTCAGGGCACAAGCCTGAATTTCAGGCTCTGTCCCCAGTGGGGGTTGTGCAGGAGGCAGCCGATCCATGATTCTCATCATTGATGTTTCTCCCTCGCTCTTCCTCTCCCTTCCTCTCTGAAATCAATAAAAATATATTTTAGAAAAGACTTATAGGTGAAATTTCACAAGTAGGTTCATATGCTGGGCAGCTTAAACAACAGCAAGACAGCCGTCCACTGCAGCTCAGAAAGGTTAAGTGTGATCTCATGTTGTCCAGTAAGTGACAGCTGGGTTGTGCTGCTTCTTCCTAATCTATTCTCCCACTTACTCTATACCAGGGGTGGGCGAACTTTTTGACTCGAGGGCCACAATGGGTTCTTAAACTGGACCGGAGGGCCGGAACAAAAGCATGGATGGAGTGTTTGTGTGAACTAATATAAATTCAAAGTAAACATCATTACATAAAAGGGTACGGTCTTTTTTTTTTTTTAGTTTTATTCATTTCAAACGGGCCGGATCCGGCCCGCGGGCCATAGTTTGCCCACGGCTGCTCTATACTCTCATGCCTTACCTGCTACACTGACTTTCGGTTTCTGAATACACCTTGCATTTTCATCCTTTTGTAATTTGGCTCGTGCCTTTTCCTATGCTTGTGCCACTTTTTACCATGTACTCTGATAGTAAAATTTTACTCCTCTTGCTAGGTCTGTGTTGGAAACTTCCTGTGAAGCCTTCCCTGATTTCCCAGGCAAAATTAACAGTTCTCTTTTTTACATTTCCTCAGTACCATGCTCTTACCTCTTATATGACACCCTGTTTATATGATGGTGGGAGCCTCAGGTCCTTTTACTTTACTTGACTGTGAACCCCTTGAGGACAGGCAACTCTGTCACATTTGTTGTTGCACCCCAAACCCTGTGGAGTAAGTCCATTTGAAGACTATAGGTTTTATTATTTTAATCAAGAGGAGTCAAGGAATCTTAAAGGGAACACATTGAGGCCTACTTTTCCCTCATAGTGGTCATATTCAGTATTCTCCGAATCCATTTCATGTAGGCCTGCTCATTTTTTAAAATTATTTTTTTAAAATATATTTTATTGATTTTCTGCAGCGAGGAGGGGAGAGGAATACAGAGTTAGAAACATCGATGAGTGAGAAACATCTATCAGCTGCCTCCTGCACACCTCCTACTGGGGATGTGCCTGCAACCAAGGTACATGCCCTTGATGGGAATCGAACCTGGGACCCTTCAGTCTGCAGGCCGATGCTCTCTCCACTGAGCCAGACTGGTTAGGGTTTGCTCATTTTTTTTTAATCATTTGAGTGACACCCAGGATTTTGTGGCTGTCATCATTAAGTACCTGCATTCCTTAATTTTTACTTAATGCCTTTCTAAAACAGATTTAAAAGTCAAATGTGAAAGTCAAACAATAGGCAGATGTTATAGAGATTGCAATTCCAGGAAGCTAGAAGAAATAAGATCTCTAATTATACTTCACTTTTGAGATGCAGTTTTTAGTAGTTTATTGCCAGCATTTGGTACATGTTCTTTAAATTGCATCTTCTATTTCAGTCAAACACTTAGTCAAACCGCTTAATGTTGTTAAGAATTTTGCAGTGGGGTTGGAGCTATTAGGATGCCTCTTATCAATACTTTTCCTTTTCTGTGCCTACTTCTTTTTATAGAATAATTAGCACCAAATACAATAAAATACTCAAATTCACAGGCATAGATGGCACTCATGCTGAGCCTAAATTCTCGGCTGGTAGGCAGCACTGTCTTACTTGACTTGGTTATTCATTAGCTGGTATATGAAAGT